TTTTGTTTTAGATTCCGTCTCTCACAGTTGAAGTGTACCTATGATAAAAATTACAGACCTCTACATGCTGTGTAAGTAGGAAAACCTGCAAAATTGGCAGTGTATCAAATACTTGTTCTCCCCACTGTATATCCACAGTAAAACGAGTCCTATATCGACATAACCTGAAAGGCTGCTCAGCAAGGAAGAAGCCACTGCTCCAAAACCGCCATAAAAAAGACAGACTATGGTTTGCAAATGCACATGGGGACAAAGATCTTACTTTTTGGAGAAATGTCCTCTGGTCTTATGAAACAAAAATAGAACTGTTTGGCCATAATGACCATCGTTATGTTTGGAAGAAAAAGGGGGTGGCTTGCAAGCCGAAGAACACCATCCCAACCGTGAAGCACGGGGGTGGCAGCATTATGCTGTGGGGGTGCTTTGCTGCAGGAGGGACTGGTGCACTTCACAAAATAGATGGAATCATGAGGAAGGAAAATTATGTTGATTTATTGAAGCAACATCTCAAGACATCAGTCAGGAAGTTAAAGCTTGGTCGCAAATGGGTCTTCCAGATGGACAATGACCCCAAGCATACTTCCAAAGTTGTGGCAAAATGGCTTAAGGACAACAAAGTAAAGGTATTGGAGTGGCCATCACAAAGCCCTTACCTCAATCCTATAGAACATTTGTGGCCAGAACTGAAAAAGCGTGTGCGAGCAAAGAGGCCTACAAACCTGACTCAGTTACACCAGCTCTGTCAGGAGGAATGGGCCAAAATTCACCAAACTTATTGTGGGAAGCTTGTGGAAGGCTACCCGACACATTTGATCCAAGTTAAACAATTGAAAGGCAATGCTACCAAATACTAATTGAGTGTATATAAACTTCTGACCCACTGGGAATGTGATGAAAGAAATAAAAGCTGAAATAAATCATTCTCTCTACTATTATTCTGACATTTCACATTCTTAAAATAAAGTGGTGATCCTAACTGACCTAAAACAGGGAATTGTTACTAGGATTAAATGTCAGGAATTGTGAAAAACTGAGTTTAAATGTATTTGGCTAATGTGTATGTAAACGTCCGACTTCAACTGTACATGTGTAACTCCCGACTGAAAAATCCATGGAGTTCGGTCGGAGGGTCGTAGATGCAGCCGCTTCTTATGTCTTTCTGCTGCGCGTATCAGCCAACCAGACCCAATATTGATGATGATGTAAATAATTTGTTATCCAATGTTAATCAAATGTTATGCTGCAGCTGCTGTGCCAGTACTGTTGATATTTACACTCGACCGGTGAGCCATGCATGTTAGTACAGGGCAGACTGGGAAACGGGCACAACCGTGTGCGCGCAAGTTCCATACAAGGCAGACCAATAGGCGCAACCAGCCGACGGACGGATGGATGGACGGACGGACGGGGGGAACTTGACAACCTCACGACGACTTGGGGGCAGTGGGTTCAGAACAACAACGACAAATACTGTATAAATTAAACAACATTATACCAATATATGCCACCAAAGCACTGCCCCACTTTCTTTACTGATTTATCTGAACTATTGTCTTTTTTCCTTGAGAACTATGATAAAAATCATTGTGTTGGGAGATTTTAATATTCATGTTGACAAAGAGACTGACTCCAAGGCTATTGAATCGTTTGAGCTCTTTGGACTTTATCCAACATGTTACTGGGCCCACCCATAACCGCAGCCATACTCTGGACCTAGTTGTTACGAAGGGGCTTTCTACTGACATATCCTCTATTGTTGATGTTGCTTCATCGAGATCGGTGTGGATGAACTTGATTGGCCTGCACAGAGGCCTGACCTCAACCCCATCGAACATCTTTGGGATGCATTGGAACGCCAACTGCAAGCCAGTCCTAATCGCCCAACATCCGTGCCCAATGTCATTAATGCTCTTGTGGCTGAATGGAAGCAAATCCCCTCAGCAATGTTCCAACATCTAGTGGAAAGCCTTCACAGAAGAGTGGAGGCTGTTATAGCAGCAAAGGGGGGACCAACTCCATGTTAATGCCCATGATTTTGGAATGAGATGTTCGATGTGCAGGTGTCCAGTCCACATACTTTTGGTCATGTAGTGTATCATATTCCCAAAACATGCTAACTTCTCACCATTACAATAACAGGGGAGGTTAGCATTTTTGGGTGAGTATGATATTTGTGCGTCTAACTTTCTCACTCATCATTATTCACCATTCATTCAGGATTATCCGTAATCATGGTAGCATCCACATTCATGTAGAAGTGCTTAGAAACATTATATTCTTATTTACAATAAAAGTGACTTCAAAATGACAATACATTATTTTCCATTCATTTCAATTGGGAACAAAATAATCGTAAACACAACCAAAACAAACAGCAAATGCATCCAACAAATTTGTAGAGTCACAAGCTTGATGTAGTCATTGCGCGCAATGAATATGAGACCAAATATTTAAAGTTTACTACTTTAATACACATATAAGTAAATTTGTCTCAATACTTTAGCTCCCCTAAAACAAAAAGTGGTGTAATTTCTAAACGGTTCACAAATATGGGAAAATACCCTCAAATTAAAGCTGACAGTCTGCACTTTAACCTCATAGTCATTGTTTGTTTTCAAATCCAAACATTAGAGCCAAAAGAAGAAGAAAATGCTTTAGTGTCCCAATAATTACGGAGGGCACTGTATGTTACCCCTTGGCAGCGTTATTAGAAAGCACGGCATTGATTTTCACTGCTACGCAGACGATACACAATTTTACATTTCTGTGTCACCAGAGGATTTTAGCTCCATAGACAAATTATTAGACTATATCAGTGATTTAAATACTTGGATGGCTCACAACTTCCTCCAGCGAAATCAAGACAAGACTGAGGTACTTATTATTGGAGCCAAAGCACAGGGAGAGAATCTGGCCGTACATTTAAAATCACAGCAATAAAGATTAAACACTTGGTAAAAAAACGTAGGTGTCATTTTAGATTCTGAACTCAATTTTGAATCACACATTAGGAACGTGAACAAAATAGCTTTTTACCACCTGAGGAACATTGCCAAGGTGTGGACGTTTCTTTCTCAGACTGATACAGAGAGACTCATATATGCTTTTATATGCGCTCTTGTCTGGTCTACCCAAGAATGCCATTGGCTGCAGCACGGGTACTGACCAAGACCAGACGGAGAGCACATATGACACCGGTTTTAAGGTCTCTGCACTGGCTTCCTCTGAGTTTTAGAATTCATTTTAAGATTCTTCTATTGGTTTTTAAATCAATCCACGATTGTGCACCCCAATACATGTCAGACATGCTTTTGAGTTATGTACCCAGTAGGTCTCTCAGGTCCTCTGGCACTGGCCTTTTAACTATCCCAAAGCCTAGGACCAAGAGGCATGGAGAGGCAGCCTTTAGTTACTATGCCCCCAGCCTCTGGAATAGCCTGCCAGAGAATCTGAGGGGGGCCGGAACTGTGGACATATTTAAAATATATATTTTTAGCTGTGCTTTTCCTCAGGGTGCTTTTTAGTTGTTCAGTTTGTATTGTTATTATTTTGCTTTTTATCCTCTTATGTTTGTTGTGTAGTAAATATTTAAGTTTGTATTTTTATTGTTTTTTATTTATATTTTTTCCTGTGAAGTGCGTTGCGTTGCATTCATGTCTGAAATTATTTGACCACCACCCAAAAGGGCACTTGGTATGTGGGAGGGCAAAGCGGCAGGTGCTCGACACAGGTAGTCCGTGATTTCTACAAGTCTTACAGACAAGTCTATGGCTGCTGTTGCTGGATGGTGTGCGTGTGTGTGTGTGCCCCACAGGCCTTCCTGCAGAATGTTCATAACTGGGACTGGAGTTGAGGTGATGCAGTGATCTGCCTGGCAGAGCTCAAACTGGGCTTCATGTCTCAGAGCTGCCTGGTGCCAGGCCTCTCCACCCTTCTGGCCAACCTGTTCACCATGCAGAGCGACATCGAGGTATGTCAACAATAAAGTGCTCAATTGTTTAAAGGATATTGGAATTTTGATGCCCCAAGTATTTTGTATTTATTTTTTAAGCAGAAAGGGACAGCAGAGGGGGATATAGAAAATATAGTGGCCCAGACAGGGCTCCAACCCCTGTCGCCAGGGGGTATGTGGTCCGAAGTCAGGAGCTTTAACTGCTATACCAGACTCTGACACTACTTTTGGTCAGATCCCAAATAAGGGCATAGGCAATTCCTGCCCACTGAATCTCTGTTGCCATTGTGCTTTACAGCGGGATGGAGACAGCTGGCAGAATCTGTACAGAGAGGGCCTCTACAATGAGATATATACAGAGCGGTGGTGGTGGCGGTCGCGGCGGTTGCGGCGGTGGCGGTGGCGGCGGTGGTGGCGGTGGTGGCGGTCGCGGTGGTGGTGGTGGCGGCGGTGGTGGCGGTGGTGGCAGTGGTGGTGGTCGTGGCGGTGGTGGTGGTGGTGGTGGTAGCGGTCGCGGCGGCGGCGGTGGTGGCGGTGGCGGTGGCGGCGGTGGTGGTGGCGGTGGTGGCGGTTGCGGCGGTGGCGGTGGCGGCGGTCGCGGCGGTGGCGGCGGTTGCAGCGGTGGTGGCGGTGGCGGTGGCGGCGGTGGTGGCGGTTGCGGCGGTGGCGGTGGCGGTGGCGGCAGCGGTGGCGGTGGCGGCGGTGGTGGCGGTCGCGGTGGTGGTGGTGGCGGCGGTGGTGGCGGTCGTGGCGGTGGTCGTGGCGGTGGTGGTGGTGGTGGTGGTAGCGGTCGCGGCGGCGGCGGCTGCAGCGTAGTACAGTTTTATAATGCTTATTTCATTATTTTACACATTGACTGTGGTTTTGTGGAGGGCTGCTGCATGCCTGTTAAAGTTGTTTTGTTGTTTGGAAGAGTGCTGTAACTCTTCCACTCTAATATTAGCTAATTAGCTAGAGTCTTTATTCAAAGGTATCTGTATGTAGGGAGTGGAAGTATTCATGGTAGTCACTTTCATGTATATGTGTGTGTGTGTTTGTCAGGGCGAGTATGTACTGCTCTGTGTGTCACAGCGACATCAAGGATTTGTCCAGGATGCGACCCTGCAGGTGCACTGAGCAGAAAGATGGTAAGATATCCATACAGTGACCCAAACAAGCCTAGTATGGTCACCTTTTTAGTACTAACCTCAGTTTCACAAGAAGCAAAGCTACGGAGACGACTCTTGAGAGGTGCAGAGAGGGTGCAGCCTCCAACTCCTCCTCTAGGTGGAGTCCTCATCCCACATGTTTCTCCGCTGTGCTGAAAAGCCAGGCTTGTCCTCGAGGCAGTTGAGCTGGGCTTATATTATTACAAAGCACCAAGTGCCTCTCTGTCCTGTTCGCCTCATTACACCACACACACAGGGCAGAGACTCAGAATGGCTGTCTGTCACCATCATCCCTCTGTCTCAAATGAGCCTGTCTGCCACCCATGAGTGTTTCTGACCTGCAAGACTCTCTCATCTGTGTGTTTCTCATCTCTCTCTCTGTGTGTGTATGTGCCTGCCATCAGTCTCATCTCACACCTCCACCTTGAGTCTAGGCTTCAGATGGCCATCACTGGGAGTTCTGCCCTTCAGGTGAGAAATCACACCCTTCTAAACAGGAATAGGTTCGTTTTGAACATGCTGAGACAAGTACTTTATTTACCACTCACTATGATATATCTACCACACACACACACACACACACACACACACACACACACACACACACACACACACACACACACACACACACACACACACACACACACACACACACACACACCCCTAGTGTGTGTAACATCAGTGTGTCCTGGCATTAGTAGTGGCTGCCTAGTGCAGGCAAGCAGTAAGGTCCTGGACAGCTGAGCACAGTAGAATAGCAGGCTGTGATTGACAGGCTGATAAATGGGCCAGCTCCCCAGAGAGAGGAGATAGCGCTGTCAGGAGATGAGTTAGTGAGCAGATTACAGCCAAAATAAATCAAAGTACCCTGCTCTCTCTCGCTCGCTCGCTCCCCCCCCCCCTCTCTATCTCCCTCTCTATCCTGTCTCCCCACCCTTTCTGTCTCTCTGTGATCTGTGATTCCACTACCCTAGTGAATACCTTTCCTCTTGTACTCTTGACATCCAGAGTGGTTGGACAGTGTGTGTGTGTGCCTCCCCTGTCCTCTCTCCCTCAACTCTTTCTTCCCCACACTCTCTGAGGCTTGTGTGTGGGTGTTTTCTCTCTGCTGTAGTCCAGAGGGAGAGACTCTTCGAGAGAGGGAGTGTGTGAGGGAGCAACAGGAGCAGCTGGAAGAGGTGAGGCTGGACTTTACAGGCCTGTTCTCCTGCAGGACCTCTGTCTGGTAAGACTGGGACATCGAGGCAATTAGACATACACTCACCTTCTCAAACACGAGCACTACCTTACTAGAACCTAGCCAGCTAGAACTTCCTTAGCCAGATAGAATAAATGCATGTAATAATAACATAATAAACATAATCAGTCGTGTCTGTGTGTGTCTGTGTGTGTGTGTCCTCTCCTCAGACCAGACAGAGTGCGAGTACCCTGGCGCTGCAGGACCACATGGTGGTGGTATGTGTGTTTGGGGATGAGGGCTCCAGCCTGCTGGGTCTGGGGGACTTCATGATGCCTCTGAGGGCCAGCAGCCTGACGGCTCCAGAGCTGAGGACCGTGGTCTTCCTGGGAGACCCACATTACTTCAGAAGGGAGTGGCCCAACATACAATACTTCCCCAACATCTACTTCATGCCGGTGAGTCTCTGGACATGTTGGAATACTCTAGAATAGATCTTAAATCTATCCATTATTCAACCGAAACGTGTATTTTTGCTGACACAAATGACCGGCATAGGCTAGGATACTCTATTGCTATAATACCTACTAATGAGGCTAACTACGTAGAGTTGGAAGAGGTGCCTAGGAGGTATTGACCAACATTACAGTCCTATAGCCTTGCCTGTCTCCCGCTGTCCCCTCACCCATTTCGTCCCCAGGGCTCTCCTTTATGTGGGGCAGACCTGTGTGCGTTGAGGGTGGAGCGCTGTGCCATGGTGGTGGTCCTCAGCTCTCTGTCCAACTCCAGCGACATTGAGCCCTCAATGCAGGACAAGGAGACCATCCACTTCTGTGTCAACCTCTACCACATCTGCTTCATCCCAGAGCCAGGCCCAAGTTGCACACAAAGGTTCACTCAGAGTCACAGCCATGGACAGGGGTTGGGTCTGGGGCTCGGTCATGGGTTTGGTCATAACCACAGTCTAAGCCACGGTCAATGAGAGGGACCAGAGAGGTTCAGAGAGAGTAGGCAGGCCTGGGGGGCTTGGAGAATATTACTGTTCATGTTTGTTGGCTGCTTTGATATTAGATTAGTTGGCTTGGCTGGATGCTGGACTGTCAGTGTGAGAGGATTGCGTTGCAGGTGAGAGAATGTGTATGTGCTTGTGTGTGCGTGTGTGTGTTATTGTCTGTGAAGGTTGTGTGTGTGTGTGTGTTTGTCTGTGTGTGAAGAGTGTGTGTGTGATTGTCTGTGAAGTGTGTGTGTGTTTTCGTCTGTGAAGGGTGTGTGTATGTGTCATTAGGGCTGTGATGGTCATGGAATTTTGGAGGACGTTTATTGGCCAGCCAAATGACCACGGTCACCGCAATAACCATTTGAATAGCAAAAAAATAAGTATACATACAGTACCAGTAAAAAGTTTTAGAACACCTACTCATTCAAGGGTTTTTCTTTATTTGTACTATTTTCTACATTGTAGAATAATAGTGATGACATCTAAACTATGAAATAACACATATGGAATAATGTAGTAACCAAAAAAGTGTTTAACAAATCTAAATATATTTTATATTTGAGATTCTTCAACTAGCCACCCTTTGCCTTGATGACAGATTTTCTTTTTTTAAGACGCACATACTCTCGTCTCCTGACTGCATGTGCTGCCATATAAATAGAATGAATAGAACGGGCTTGGAACCTCTAACCCTGGCAATTTGACTGTTAAACCCATGCGTACACTTGTAATGGCTGCCTGGTATTGTGATGCAATAATTTCCATGGTAATATGGAATGTTCATTCCACACTCCTGAGTGGCGCAGTGGTCTAAGGCACTGCATCGCAGTGCTAACTGTGCCACTAGAGATCCTGGTTCGAATCCAGGCTCTGTCGCAGCCGGCCGCGACCGGGAGACTCATGGGCGGCGCACAATTGGCCCAGCGTCGTCCAGGGTAGGGGAGGGAATGGCCGGCAGGGATGTAGCTCAGTTGATAGAGCATGGTGTTTGCAACGCCAGGGTTGTGGGTTCGATTCCCACGGGGGGCCAGTATAAAAAAAATATGTGTTCACTAACTGTAAGTCGCTCTGGATAAGTGCGTCTGCTAAATGACTAAAATGTAAATGTATGCAGTACTCATCTGCCTATGAACCAGAGAAATACTGTTAGCACTGAGTTGGTGTGCCCTAGTAGGACGTCCACTTTGTGCAGCTCACCCTGCACTAATAAAAATAACCAGAGTATGTCTACCTCTGCTAAGCTTCCCAGTAATGCAAGAAAAATAATCAAGCATCCCAGAAACATTTTAAAAATAGCCCATGTTAACATATGTAGCTTAACAAACAAGGTTAATGAAATCAATAAGTTGCTAGTAACAGATGACATTCCTATTCTGACAATCTCTGAAACTCACTTAGATAATACCTTTGATGATACAATGGTAGCAATATAAGGTTATAACATTTACAGAAAAGAGAAATGCCAACGGGGGCGGTGTTGCGGTCTATATTCAGAACCACATTCCTGTAAAGAGAGGATCTCATGTTAAATACTGTTGAAGTAATATGGCTACAGGTTTATCTGCCTCACCTAAAGCCCATTCTGGTGGGAAGCTGCTATAGACTACGAAGTGCTAACAGTCAGTATCTGGATAACATGTGTGAAATGCTTGATAATGTATGTGATATCAACAGACAGGTATATTTTCAGGGCGATTTACAAATTGACTGGCTTTCGTCAGTCTGCCCGCTCAAGAGAAAGCTTCAAACTGTAACTAGTGCCTGCAACCTGGTTCAGGTTATCAATCAACCTACCAGGGTAGTTACAAACAGTACAGGAATGAAATCATCAACATGTATTGATCATATTTACATTACATTTTAGTCATTTAGCAGACGCTCTTAACCAGAGCGACTTGCAGTTAGTGAGTGCATACATTATTATAATTTTTTTCATACTAGGTCTGCAGAACTACAACGACCGGCCCTGCCACTTAATAAAACAAATGCTGGCAATACTGGTGTCAAACCATGCAAGTCTCAGTAGCATGAAATAACATCTACAGTTGAAGTCGGAAGTTTACATAGACCTTAGCCAAATACATTTAAACTCAGTTTTTCCACAATTCTTGATATTTAATCCTAGTAAAAATTCCCTGTCTTAGGTCAGTTAGGATCACCACTTTATTTTAAGAATGTGAAATGTCAGAATAATAGTAGAGAGAATGATTTATTTAAGCTTTTATTTAATCCCTACCATTGTGTCGCTGAGTTGTCATAATGCTTCAGCAAATGTACATTATCCTAGGGGCATTGGAAGACACAATGTAAATAACCTGATTTATGTCCCTCTTACTGCCCAGAATGCCTCTGCTGATCCTACAGCTATTGTATAAACTCCTGAGTGGCGCAGTGGTCTAAGGCACTGCATCGCAGTGCTAACTGTGCCACTAGAGATCCTGGTTCGAATCCAGGCTCTGTCGCAGCCGGCCGCGACCGGGAGACTCATGGGCGGCGCACAATTGGCCCAGCGTCGTCCAGGGTAGGGGAGGGAATGGCCGGCAGGGATGTAGCTCAGTTGATAGAGCATGGCGTTTGCAACGCCATGGTTGTGGGTTCAATTCCCACGGGGGGCCAGTATAAAAAATATGTATTCACTAACTGTAAGTCGCTCTGGATAAGAGCGTCTGCTAAATGACAAAAATGTAAATGTAATTGTAAATGATGTTGTGCATTGTATTTTTTGTAATGTCAGTTGAGTTGAATCAACAAATCACAGCACATATTGATGGGTACACTTCTTGCTTTTACTTCCTGCTTTTCTTCCTTCTTTGCAGCTATGGGTACACTCGCAATGGCCGCCAGTCCAGCCATTATGTCATCATTGACTTGAATGGGGATGCCCGTTCTATTCATTCTATTTCTATGTGTGCTGATGCTGCTGCAGGGAGGGAGGGGTGTTGCCTTGGCAACTGAAGACTCATTTGCTACAACACCTTGCTTGTTTCAGCAAGGAGCAACAAAGTTTCATCACGTTGTTAAGAGTCCATGTTACCGCAGAATCGGACTCAACCGCATGAATGCCCGGCCGTCCCGTCTTCAGTCAGCTGTTTGTTCCACACACAACAAACAACAACTGTTATGATGGTTATTTTATTTTCATGATGGTCTTCATCCATAACCGTCGGTTACACAGTTATACAGTTATTGTGCCAGCCCTATGTGTCATGTCCATGGCATGAGTGCTATGTACTGTGTGGTGAGAGAGACAGACAGACAGGTGGTGAGAGAGAGACAGACAGACAGACAGGTGGTGAGAGAGACAGACAGACAGACAGGTGGTGAGAGAGACAGACAGACAGACAGGTGGTGAGAGAGTCGGACAGACAGACAGGTGGTGAGAGAGTCGGACAGACAGACAGGTGGTGAGAGAGACTGACTGACAGACAGACAGGTGGTGAGAGAGACAGACAGACAGACAGACAGACAGACAGACAGACAGACAGACAGACAGACAGACAGACAGACAGACAGACAGACAGACAGACAGACAGACAGACAGACAGACAGACAGGTGGTGAGATAGACAGACAGACAGACAGACAGACAGACAGACAGACAGACAGACAGACAGACAGACAGACAGGTAGTGAGAGAGACTGACAGACAGACAGACAGACAGACAGACAGACAGGTGGTGAGAGAGACTGACAGACAGACAGGTGGTGAGAGAGACAGACAGACAGACATGTGGTGAGAGAGACAGACAGACAGGTGGTGAGAGAGACAGACAGACAGACAGACAGACAGACAGACAGACAGACAGACAGACAGACAGACAGACAGACAGACAGACAGACAGACAGACAGACAGACAGACAGGTAGTGAGAGAGACTGACAGACAGACAGACAGACAGGTGGTGAGAGAGACTGACAGACAGACAGGTGGTGAGAGAGACAGACAGACAGGTGGTGAGAGAGACTGACAGACAGACAGGTGGTGAGAGAGACAGACAGACAGACAGACAGACAGACAGACAGACAGACAGACAGACAGACAGACAGACAGGTGGTGAGAGAGACAGACAGGCAGGTGGTGAGAGAGACTAACAGACAGACAGGTGGTGAGAGAGCCTGACAGACAGACATGTGGTGAGAGAGCGTGTGTGTAAGCGAATGGTTTGTGTGTGTGTGTTTGAGCAAATGCTGTGTGTGTGAATGCCAGCGTGTGTGTGTGTGAACCCCAGTGTTTGCGCGACAGCCTGCTGCTGAGGCTGTCAGAAAATAAGCATGTTCCAGTAATTAACCTTGACAGGATCAATGTGCCGCCAACAGCAGAAATGTGCTAATGACACAATTAATCCATAATTAAGGCATGCTGTCTCACTGGAGAGACACAGTAACTGGATCGACCCGTCTGGGCTGCCTATCAATGACAGTCTGTACTATAGGAGATGAGAGGGGACGTGTGTGTATGTTGTTGTTATTCTTTGTTTGAGACATTAGTGCATAATGTCACAGTTATACTCTAGTACCCAAGATATTAACATGATTAGTGACAGAAAACTCAGTGTTATAGAACACAAATCATGTTATACAAATGCTTTTGGGGATCCCATTCCTTTAAGTGTGTAACAATTTCTAACACGTCATTGTATAGAAGAAGAATATATAGTTTCTTTATATAGTTTAAATAGTTGCAGTTTTCAGTGTGTACAATTGTAACGGTGTGTTATGTTTTGTGCTTTGCAGACTCCTCCCAAATCGCTATGATAGCTGAGAAGGCTGAGGTCACCCCTGCTCAAAGCACCGGCACCACGATCCCTCTGCTGGTAGAGCTTGGTATTGCAACGATTTCACTTCATAGAGTTGTGCTACATCAAAACAGTGACAGGAGTTTTTTTATTTTTTTATTCATGGTTAGGTCACATGGTCAGTAAAAAACTTCTGGCCCTAAAGAATTCAAGATAGTCCAGTTAAAACCATGTAGTTATAGGTGGATGGTGACAATTTATTATAATAAAGTACATTATTATTCACAGACATCCCTGTTTAACAAAATACTTACCTCTATACTGACTGTATGTACCAGTGGAGGCTTCTCAGAGGAGGAAGGGGAGGACCATCCTCAGTGAATTTCATACAAATAAAAATAGTGAAACATTAAAAAAGTCATTATTTTTTAGATAAAACTATTCTAAATATATTCATATCACCAAATAATTGATTATTACTCCTCTGGGTACATTGACTTCAATACAAAACCGTGGAGGCTCGTGGTTCTCACCCCCTTCTGTAGAATTACACAGTATTTATGACGACTTCCGGAGAACATCCTACAACCTATCAGAGTTCTTGCAGCATTGTGGTGTCTAAGCAATTTATGACTTTGCTAACGTTTGCAAATGGTATCTTAGAGGATGTTGATTCAGCTTAGGGAAGCATCTGGAGAGCAGTTCTATAGGGGCACCCTAAAACAGAGGAAGTCTGTTGTGTGGAGTCATGGGATTGGTCTGTAGGGGAAACCACCCATATCATGTTAAAGATTATAAATACTTGGTTGGGACAAAGGAGGACAGAACAACATATTAGATCGGGTCCGTTGTTCTCCAGATGCCTGCAGATGTCTGTAAATTTACGCTGAAATCTTTTGAAATAATAAACCTTTATAATCAAAGTACAGTGTAAGCGGACTCCTTGTTCTCACAGCATAATTAGCATCATTATTTAGTTACTACAGAATGGCGACGAGGTAGTTGGGACGTGTTGCGTCTCTCCAGTGTTCCATTCATGAGCTACGAAGTGACTCCCGCTCAAGACGCCGGCTCATAAGGTGAGATTTCTCACAATTTTGTGCGCTGGTCGGTTCGTTTGCTTATGTGGGTGTGTGCGCTGGGGGGATGTACCGTTTGAAAGACTTATGTGTGCATTTTGCTGTTATTTGCTGTGGGATAAGAGTCCGTTCAAAATTTCTAAATTTGTTTGCGTTGAAAGCAACGCAAACAGGGGGGAGTGTCTATAACTATTGATAAATACTGGACACAGGGATATTTTTGCTTGAGGAAAATTGAAAAAGAATAGAATGAAGGAATAAGGCCAAGGAAAATGTATACAAATTAGGATATCGCGAATCTATGACAAGCCCTCCAACGAGGCGATCACTAGGATGGGCCGAAAATCCTAAAAGCGCATTAGGTTGGTTTTAGGTCAGTCCCGGGGACTGGAGTTTGTGGTATATACATTCTATTGCAAGTTACCGCTCAACTTATAGTTGACGAAGTATATGTTTGATGTAACCGCTCATTGGATATCTGCGAACTCGAGGTAGCAGAAATTTAGGAACAATGGAACTCTGTGTATGTGTGTGTGTGTGTGGGAGAGAGAAAAATAATAAAATAAAGACGTCTCTGTTGTGTTTAAACTGTGTGTCGACTCATGTTAGTATAAGATTTATGTTAGAGATATATACATATATATGTTTTGGTTGAGAACACGGGTTTTTGTTTTTATAAGGAAATATGTAAGTTAAGGTTAAAAATCTTATGAGTCTCCGTTGGTGAGAACGTTAATAATTGTTAACTATATATGAGCCCCCTGGAAGGACGTTAAGGTTAAAAATCTTATGACTCTCTATAAAAAGAGAACGTTTACTAACTATTAGAATATCATGAGCCTACAGGGAGGAGTTTTTAAGAGTGTATAGAGATGTTTTGTAATTGATAAAAAAATAACTATAAATCTGCAGATTAGGATAAGTGAAGTTAAGAAACTTCAAAGTAGGATTTGTGTTCTATGTTTTGTGTTGGTTTGTGAGCTCTGTTAAGTGTTACTGTTTGTCTGTTGGGGGAAAGAACGGAGGTAAAGTTGGTCTGTCTACTTTCTGTTGTTTAGCTGGGAGAGAGCTGCTTGGGAGCTCCTTTCACTCTGAAATCGCACTGGTGAATGAACTACGCATGCGTGGGATTTTATGAGTTTAGAGTTACATAGAGCAAATATGCCACTCCCCTGCCTGAACTGAGCTGCTGTGAGACGCAGACTCAGAGCAGACAGAGAAGAAGGGGGAGATTTACACACTAATAGAGTAGTCTGTTTGTTTAATCGGCTGTTGTTTAACGATGAAACTATTTGATTGAGACCTATTGAATTGATAAACTAGAGATATGTTGACGGATTAAAAATAAATAAAATAAAATGTTATTGAGCTATCTATAAATATTCCTGAGTTAAATTGTTTGCTTATTTCTTAGCGCGAATGTGAACAGAGGAATATTGCAATAACCCAGTGAGTGCATAAAATACTAAATTCTTGTCTGTTCTTTGTTCTTCTGTCATATGAGAGACGATGAGGAGGAGACAGCGAGAGAGAGGAGGTGCTGACGAGTGCATAACGCGACAGAGTGTGCTGCAACGGATCAAGTCAAATCAAGGCTAGTACTGTTCTATTCACAAAACTTACCTTCCCATAGAGGATATTTTGGGTGCCTAGCACATTTCATGTTGTGACAATTTGGCAGGGACTTGGCAACAGACTGATCAATTGATGTAATTGCATATTTGAGTTTTTTGTGCATGAGTTGGTTTGATTAAAGTTGTGTTGAAAATCGAGCACTGACATTGTTCTGTAAAATTAAGGTCATTGGGTGCTTATTAATTAAGGTCATTGGGTGCTGGATTATAGGTCTTTCTTTTTTGGATTGCTCTGAAGTTGACTACTTTCCTTTACTTTTCCTGATCGGATGTGGTAAGATTGCCACTAATTAATAAATTGGTAAAATAAATAGATTAAAATAAAAAATAAAATAAAAAAACATTGTACATATATTGATTAATTAATTGTTTAATTAAAAATATATATATACAGTGGGGAGAACAAGTATTTGATACACTGCCGATTTTGCAGGCTTTCCTACTTACAAAGCATGTAGAGGTCTGTAATTTGTATCATAGGTACACTTCAACTGTGAGAGACGGAATCTAAAACAAAAATCCAGAAAATCACATTGTATGATTTTTAAGTAATTAATTTGCATTTTATTGCATGACATAAGTATTTGATACATCAGAAAAGCAGAACTTAATATTTGGTACAGAAACCTTTGTTTGCAATTACAGAGATCATACGTTTTCTGTAGGTCTTGACCAGGTTTGCACACACTGCAGCAGGGATTTTGGCCCACTCCTCCATACAGACCTTCTCCAGATCCTTCAGGTTTCGGAGCTGTCGCTGGGCAATACGGACTTTCAGCTCCCTCCAAAGATTTTCTATTGGGTTCAGGTCTGGAGACTGGCTAGGCCACTCCAGGACCTTGAGATGCTTCTTACGGAGCCACTCCTTAGTTGCCCTGGCTGTGTGTTTCAGGTCGTTGTCATGCTGGAAGACCCAGCCACGACCCATCTTCAATGCTCTTACTGAGGGAAGGAGGTTGTTGGCCAAGATCTCGCGATACATGGCCCCATCCATCCTCCCCTCAATACGGTGCAGTCGTCCTGTCCCCTTTGCAGAAAAGTATCCCCAAAGAATGATGTTTCCACCTCCATGCTTCACGGTTAGGATGGTGTTCTTGGGGTTGTACTCATCCTTCTTCCTCCAAACACGGCGAGTGGAGTTTAGACCAAAAAGCTCTATTTTTGTCTCATCAGACCACATGACCTTCTCCCATTCCTCCTCTGGATCACCCAGATGGTCATTGGCAAACATCAGACGGGCCTGGGCATGCGCTGGCTTGAGCAGGGGGACCTTGCGTGCGCTGCAGGATTTTAATCCATGATGGCATAGTGTGTTACTAATGGTTTTCTTTGAGACTGTGGTCCCAGCTCTCTTCAGGTCATTGACCAGGTCCTGCCATGTAGTTCTGGGCTGATCCCTCACCTTCCTCATGATCATTGATGCCCCACGAGGTGAGATCTTGCATGGAGCCCCAGACCGAGGGTGATTGACCGTCATCTTGAACTCCTTCCATTTTCTAATAATTGCGCCAACAGTTGTTGCCTTCTCACCAAGCTGCTTGCCTATTGTCCTGTAGCCCATCCCAGCCTTGTGCAGGTCTACAATTGTATCCCTGATGTCCTTACACAGCTCTCTGGTCTTGGCCATTGTGGAGAGGTTGGAGTCTGTTTGATTGAGTGTGTGGACAGGTGTCTTTTATACAGGTAACGAGTTCAAACAGGTGCAGTTAATACAGGTAATTGGTGGAGAACAGGAGGGCTTCTTAAAGAAAAACTAACAGGTCTTTCGGGTTTGGTGGGAGAAAATTTCAAAAAAATCAGTTGTGGGGGTTTCTTTACTGTTGTTTCTACTTTTATGAAAAAACAAAAAAAAAAAAAAGGGTTTTTTGGATTTTAGTTTAATTTTTTACTTAATTCCCTAAAAAATAAAAAATGTTTTAAGTGGAAAAAACTAAAAAACCATGATAAATATTTTCCCCCCTGTTAAAAAAAAAAAAAAAAAAAAAAAAGGGGGGGAACCTAGTTCATGTTAAAAAATTTACAAAAAAATTAAAAAAATTGTTTACAAGGGGAAAAAGGCCAAAAAATAAAAGGTTTTACCCTTTGAAGTAAAAATTAACCTTTAAGAAGGGTTTTTGCAATTTTTGGGAAAAATGTTAAAGGGGAAAAAAAGGGAAAACCTTTTTAAAAAAAAAAAAAAGGCTTTTTGTCTTTAAGGGAAAAAGAAGGGAAAAAAAAAGGGAACAACTTTAAAGAAAAAAAAAAGGATGGGGAAGGTTTTTTAAAATGAAGGACAAAAACTGATGAAAGATACCAACGATAAAAGAAACAAAGGTATAGAGAAAATGGTAAAAGAAGTGAAGGTGACAGAAAAACTAATGACAGAAGTCAGTACACCTTTCTCACATACGGATTCAGCAAAAAGACCCCCACCTTATGAGAAAGAAGTAGAGTTTAAGGACGTCTATCCTCAGCTTCCAGTGATCATTCAGGAGGGTGATTATTGCATCAGAGATGAAGATGAACGAATAATAGAGAGAGGACAAGCAGAAACGACCATAAAGATGAATCCAAACTCCAAAAGTAAGAAGAAAACGAGATGTCTGGAGTGAGGTTCAGGAAGATGGAACTTGAAGATGATGATGATGATGATCAGAGTGATTCAGAAGAGATCATGGGTGGATATGACCCTGTGATCAGACGGAGGTTGGCCAGAGCAGAAAGAAGGGGTGATGGATGATTGAAGAAGAAGAATACAAGAGATTCTAGTTCTGATGAAAGCGAAGATGAAGACAGCGATAAAGATTTGGAGATTAAAGGTGCTTCATATTCAAGAGGATTTTATCCTACAATGACTAGCACAGAAGAAATAGAAAGAGATATAGACCGATGCGTATCATGCCTGGATAAAGCGAATAATTTAGAAGAAGTAAGAGAACTGGAAGAACAACTCAAGAAGCTGAAGATACAGAAGAAAAAACTGCTGAGAAAAGGATCCCAAGAATTGGAGAATAAGTATACATTGAGGCCAAGGAAAGAGGGCACCAGTAAGAAGATGATGCCAGTGATATTTCGCGGACAGAACCTAGAATATAAGCCTTTGCAAAATACCGATATGTCAGATATACTTGAGAAGCTGCCTACTCTTCAAGATGGAGCATATCCTTGGATTTCAAAATTGGAAGAAATTACGGTGCGAACACAGTCTGCCATAGGAGACATTAAGATACTTTTGGCTAATCTCCTTGGGATTCCAGATTTGTAAGACATTTTTCAGAGAGCTGGACTTAATAGATATGTGGGGACTGCAGTGAATGACCCTGAATTGTTGGCTGCAAGTAGAAATCGGCTGTGGAGAGCACTGAAAGATACGTTTCCAACAAATGTGCATCCTGACAACATTCTGATTGACCCACTAGGACAACAAGAAAATCCGAGAGCCTATGTGTCAAGAGTTCATCAAGTGTGGAGGAATATTACCGGAAATGATCCAGATGTGAGTCAAATTGAGCAGTCAATTTTGAGAGCTAAACTGCAGATGGGACTGCCCTCACCAGTAAGGAGCAAACTGGCAGCGGTGGTTGGACTTGGAAGCATGACAAAAGGCGTCTATACAGATCATATAGCCCATCAAGTGGATCTGTACAGGAAAAAGGAACACAACCAGAAAGAACAGGACCAAGAAACTCTCAGAAAACTCAATCAAATACAACTGGTGGAGAATAAGAAGGAGAAGAAACAAGCTTTGGTTATGCAGAATCAGTGTGCACCAAATCAACAATCCCTGCCACAGCTTCAACCGGACCAGTTCCAACCGCAATTGTACCAGCCACCAATAGCGGTACCAGTTGTTTCATATCCACAGCCAGTTTCTGGACAGACACAGAATTGGAGAGGAAGAGGACGAGAAGGCTTAGAAAGAGGAAGAGGAGGAAGATTTAAGCCATACTTCCAGCAATCTTCAGAAGTGTGTTATGATTGTGGACAGGTTGGTGATTTTGCCTGTGAGTGTAATGGGCCAGAAGGAAACACAAGAGGGAATTTCAGAGGAAGATACAGGGGTCAGTCAAGATCATCTGGAGCACCGGTGAACCCCTATAGGGGCCCGGAGCAAGGATTCTAGGGGTGCCCAGAAGATCCGAAAGGGGGGTGTCAGCTGGTAGCATCAGGACCGGAAAAAGATCAAACAATTGAGGTGAAAATAAACAACCGACCATTGGAAGTGATGGCGGATAGCGGAGCTGCTTTTACCTGCGTTCGGCCTGAAGATGCTACACATCTCCCTATGTCCAATCAACTAATTAGGACAATCGGATTTGAGGGAGTAAAACAGCTGATTCCTCTTACGGAACCAATTGAGCTCTGCTATAAAAATCAGAAAATTACAATACCCATACTGGTATCAGAACATACACCTATTGCATTGTTGGGAAGAGATGCATTGTGTAAGTTGAACTGTACAATAAGATGTACAACAGACGGCTGTCTGGTAGAAGTGCCAAAGGAAAAGGTTTACCAATTGTTGATGATGACAGAGATGGATTCGTCTTCAGTATTCTGGATTGGAAATCTCAGTGAAGATTTTTTGAAGCAGGCTAAGATATGGGAGAAATTTATTGTGACAAATATGCCAGATGCGAGGCTTCCGGAAATATTCATTTCATTGTACGCTCAAGTATTTCAAGAATGCTGCCCAATCGAACTCAGGGGAATGGTTGAGTCATCAACCAAAGAAAGTTCAACTTAGCTCATGTTGCATTATTTTAGGACCACAAGGAGCAGCTATGAAGATAAACACAGACGATTATCTGGATAAAGAATTTGAGATTTAGAAGAGTGTGCCACATGTGACCTTGTTGGTTTCTGAAGGCTATGAGCAGAAGCAAATAGGAGAAATGATGACAGAAGCAGAGAAATCTGTTTTTGAACTGATGAAAGAATTGGGGGATTTGGAGGAGTGAAGATCAGCGATTTCTCAAAATAATGATTTTGGCTCAAGGACAAGGAGAGTCATAAACTGTAAGGATGACACATGAATCTATTTGCAGTGTGAAGATGGATTAAAAATCTATGAAAAAGGAGATGTTGAAAAAAGTTCAAGAATGTTTGTGGTCTCAACACAGTACCGATATTGGACTTGTGAAATCAGCCCAACCTGTGAAAGTTGAACTTCGACCAGGAGCCAGACCTCCTTGGAAGAATCAGTATCCATTGAAAGATGAAGCAATCCAAGGGATTGAACCACAAATTGAAGGACTTTCAAAAGCAGGTGTTTTGAAGACAATAGAAAAATCCTTAGAGTAGCAATCCATTGTTGTCTTTGGAGAAACCATGAGAGGTTGATAGTAGCGACTCTAGACCTATTAGGTCTGATGATTTAGGAAGCTATGGGTTAGCTAATGTTGCAAGGGGGAGGTTAAGAGAAAGATCACAAAGGAGTATGGTTTTTGGGCACCATATTTGCTTGAACAGGTTGACTATGTCATAGGCAGGTGGACAATCTGTCTGAAAAATAATGTTCGCAGGGGTGTGACTGTTATTCTTGGTTACATTCCTACACCAAGAGGTGCATAAGATGTCAAACTAAGCGAAAATATGCTCAGTCGTTTGCCAAGTTCTTGTGTAAAGAAGTCATAAGTAGGTGGGGACTTCCCGATCAAATATCCTGAAATTAGTGGGAAGGGAATTTGTGGATAAATCAGTGAAATGGTTTTTGAAAAATTAGTGGGAAAGGAATTTGTGGATAAATCAGTGAAATGGTTTTGGGAAAAAGTTAGGAGAAAAGTCAGACTAAAAAGTTATGAAAACTAGGGTTGAAGGAACTCTAGGACAGTCAGCTCAGCTTCAATGTTAGTACGAGAGAGAGAACAGTGGTGAAGGGAAATTTAGAGTTAAGTGGAGAGATAATTATGGAGAAGAAGTGTTGTTATGAGGACAAGAAGTAGAAGCTGTTGCACCTAGTGAAAGGAAGTATATTTTGTACAACGATATGAAGTGGAAGAGGGTTATGAGTGATTGCTAACTTATTTTGAGTAATGTTAGAGGGGAAGATCAGGGAGAATACTATCATGGAGGTACAGGATGAGTTCTTTGATTTTAATGGAAGACAAGAAGATATATCTGATCAATACCGCTCGTTAGGGAAGAGAGAAACTAAATGGAAGGCATAATCTTTGGTTCCAGCAGTTAACTCATTCTGTAAGATCAGTGAGGAATGTTGAGGGTCCATGTCTGTTGAGAATTCCAGCACCAGGCACATGGGGTTCAATCTTAGAGATGGTGGCTCAACCTCTATCAAGTATGTGTCAATCTTATGCTTTATCATGGTTGTTGTATCCGCAACAATCATTAACAGATACAATAATGTCGTTGTCGAAGCATTTGTTTAGGCCTAGGTTTAAATGTTCTTGGTTAAATGAATTATCCTATGTGAATTTGTTAGATGGGAAGGAAAATTAGTTAACAGCGATTCCTGAAGCATTGGAGGTGAAACCTGTGAGGGCTAAAAGCTGTTTTTGTTAAAATAAAACATATGTTGGAAAGGGTATGTTTATGGGAATATCAGATTGTGATGATTATATGATGACTTTGGGTAAGCATGAACATAAGGTTAGTAATGAGAAATATAATGTAACTTTTTATGTTCCAGTTAGTAAGAAGAGCAGGACTTTGATGGTGAAAGATCAGCTTTTGCCTGGTAATGTGACTATTTGGGAATTTTAGAGATATTTGGTGGGTTTGTGGTGATAAAGCATATATATAATATTACCTATACTTTGCAGGGTTTTGCAAATGAAACGATAAGAGGGTTTAACCTTCTGTCGAATACTCAAAGAAGTCACAGACTGACGCTGTTGAAACACGACATGGCTCTTGACTATATTTTAGCAAAACAAGGTGGCTTATGTTTGGCTATGAATTTGACGGGGGATGATTGTTATACTTTGATCGCAGATAGTTCCGATAATATCACTAGTGTTATAGATGCATTGAAGAATATAAGGGATGCGTTTGGTAGATCTGAAGGAGCTGGATGGTCAGCGAAGGCTTGGTTGCAAGATCAGTTAGGCCCAGTGGGAGCAGTGATAGTTCAGATTTTAGTAGCAGCTCTGATAGCGCTGTGTGTGATGTTTTGCTTTTGTACTTTGTTATTGACTTTTGCGAAGAATATGATATTGAGATGGGTTGGAGTTGTGATGCCTGGAGAAAACACTCAGATGCCGTTGTTAACTGTTACTGATCTGGATGAAGATGAACAAGTGGGACTGGATGGAGTATTGATGGATAGATATCCAGTTTGAATATCTGATCAATTTTCACATGTTTTTAATATTAGCGTGATTTTAGTATTTTGTGATGAATCAAAGGTGGGAAATGGAATGTGATTCATTTTATATATCATTTTATATATCATTTTTAGTTGATATTGATGTTTTAATTTGAATGTGTTGTTTTGCAAAAGATACTGTTTGGTCTTTTCTTTTCTTCCAGAAGCATATGGGGGAATGTGTAGAGGGGATTCAAATACTCAAACATGGACAATATGAATGGACAATATGAATGGACTGGAGGAAGTGGAACAAGGAAGGTGTGGAAATGTTCAGATTCCATCATCGACGTTGCATTGGAAGTCAACACTGCTGAGGAGATGAAGTGTAGTGGACTACATTCCAGTGTCTGCAATGATATATAGACATATTTGCATGTGTAATACATAATTTGTGTCATATTCTTTCTGTATTAATTTTTGTGGAATGATATTTGCTGTTATTGGGTACATGTGGGGATCTCAGATGTTTTTGTTTATTTCGTGGATGCTTAGGGATATTGGGTCTAGGCAGGGACAGAGAGAATCTACAGGAGGGTCCGATGGGTCGACCAGCCTGAATGTGGACATTTTTGATTGTATTTTGTTTGCTGAGGCTTTCATGTGTATTCAAATTGCATCATAGTTTAAAATGCATTGATAAAGATTTATGAATTGATCTGGAGTACGTAGGTGGTTGCCTGGGGCAGAGGGGCCGTGAGAGAATTTTACTGTCTTGATTGATTGATGGATATTTGGAAAGAAAGCTGCCAGACAGGTTTTTCGCTCTCACACTCCATAAAGATTTGTTCATATTTCATAGAAATGTATTTACACTCCATAGAAAAATTTGTTTTTGGTTTATTGTTAAAGATACTCAATAAGAGAAATTGTTATTTGTCATAATCCTATTATTTTTGTTTTCGAGACTTAATTAGTCTCGAAGGGGGGAAATATGTGGTGTGTAAGCAATTTATGACTTTGCTAACGTTTGCAAATGGTATCTTAGAGGATGTTGATTCAGCTTAGGGAAGCATCTGGAGAGCAGTTCTATAGGGGCACCCTAAAACAGAGGAAGTCTGTTGTGTGGAGTCATGGGATTGGTCTGTAGGGGAAACCACCCATATCATGTTAAAGATTATAAATACTTGGTTGGGACAAAGGAGGACAGAACAACATATTAGATCGGGTCCGTTGTTCTCCAGATGCCTGCAGATGTCTGTAAATTTACGCTGAAATCTTTTGAAATAATAAACCTTTATAATCAAAGTACAGTGTAAGCGGACTCCTTGTTCTCACAGCATAATTAGCATCATTATTTAGTTACTACAGCATGAACTGACATGTTGTCTATCCAATCAAAGGATCAGAGAATGAATTTAGTACTGAAAGCATAAGCTGCAGCTAGCTAGCACTGAAGTCCACAAGCGAAGGGAAAAGGTGAGAGGAGGAGAGCATGTAAATGCGAGAAGGAATTATACATTGATCAAAGAGGTCATGCTGTTTGTATGTGGCTGCTATGAAAGTGAACTGTGTGTATTGATCAGGGGTGTATTGATTCCGCCAATTCTGTTGGAAAAATGTTTATTAAACGGAAGCAAAAGAAACTGGGATAAACATACCTGAATTTGTCCAATAGAAACTCTTGTTTGCAACTGTTGGACTAAAGATTACACCCTAGATCAGCTAGATGCAGGAAAGAGTGTGCAAGGCCGTATTGAATGTGTCAATCAATCAATCAATCAATCAATTTTATTTTATATAGCCCTTCTTACATCAGCTAATATCTCGAAGTGCTGTACAGAAACCCAGCCTAAAACCCCAAACAGCTAGTAATGCAGGTGTAGAAGCACGGTGGCTAGGAAAAACTCCCTAGAAAGGCGAAAACCTAGGAAGAAACCTAGAGAGGAACCAGGCTATGAGGGGTGGCCAGTCCTCTTCTGGCTGTGCCGGGTGAAGATTATAACAGAACCATGCCAAGATGTTCAAAAATGTTCATAAGTGACAAGCATGGTCAAATAATAATCAGGAATAAATCTCAGTTGGCTTTTCATAGCCGATCATTAAGAGTTGAAAACAGCAGGTCTGGGACAGGTAGGGGTTCCATAACCGCAGGCAGAACAGTTGAAACTGGAATAGCAGCAAGGCCAGGCGGACTGGGGACAGCAAGGAGTCACCACGGCCGGTAGTCCCGACGTATGGTCCTAGGGCTCAGGTCTCTCAGTTGGCTTTTCATAGCCGATCATTAAGAGTTGAAAACAGCAGGTCTGGGACAGGTAGGGGTTTCGTAACCGCAGGCAGAACAGTTGAAACTGGAATAGCAGCAAGGCCAGGCGGACTGGGGACAGCAAGGTGTCATCATGCCCGGTAGTCCTGACGTATGGTCCTAGGGCTCAGGTTCTCAGAGAGAAAGAGAGAACGAGAGAATTAGAGAGAGCATACTTAAATTCACACAGGACACTGGATAAGACAGGAGAAGTACTCCAGGTATAACCAACTAACCCCAGCCCCCCGACACATAAACTACTGCAGCATAAATACTGGAGGCTGAGACAGGAGCTGTCCGGAGACACTGTGGCCCCATCCGAAGAAACCCCCGGACAGGGCCAAACAGGAAGGATATAACCCCACCCACTCTGCCAAAGCACAGCCCCCGCACCACTAGAGGGATATCCTCAACCACCAACTTACAATCCTGAGACAAGGCCGAGTATAGCCCACAGAGGTCTCCACCACAGCACAAACCAAGGGGGGGCGCCAACCCAGACATGAAGATCACGTCAGTAACTCAACCCACTCAAGTGACGCACCCCTCCCAGGGACGGCATGAAAGAGCACCAGCAAGCCAGTGACTCAGCCCCTGCAACAGGGTTAGAGGCAGAGAACCCCAGTGGAGAGGGGAACCGGCCTGGCAGAGACAGCAAGGGCTGTTCGTTGCTCCAGAGCCTTTCCGTTCACCTTCACACTCCTGGGCCAGACTACACTCAATCATATGACCTACTGAAGAGATAAGTCTTCAGTAAAGACTTAAAGGTTGAGACAGAGTCTGCGTCTCTCACATGGGTAGGCAGACTGTTCCATAAAAATGGAGATCTTGATGACAAAAATGTCTCTTGACCTGTGCACCTACATTGTAAACTTTCATTCATAGGCTAGGTTGTAGCAACCTCATGATGGGTATACATAAAATGTGAGTATCATTTAGTAGCCTAAACCTATCGATTTTACATTGAGCTGGGTAAATGGAATATGAATGACAGTCATCCAATATGCTGTAATAGAAATAAGGCCATGGTCATCAAAATAATAATCGTCCTCCCTCATCTTAAACGACACCAACTGCCACTGGTATGTACTGTATATATACTACTAACTAGTCCCTCTCTCCCCCATGCATGGAACAGCTCTAACGTGTGCTTTGTGAACGTGGCGGACAGCCATGAGGACTTCTCCAGCCTGACCCTGACCCAGGCCTTCTCTGTAGGCTCTGTCTTCTCGGTCGACCTGCTCGACTCTTTCATGGCAGCTGTGAGTACACAGGACATCACAAGACTGGATCTAACATAATGTTAATAAACTGTTTGGCCATCACACAATGTTTACAATGACTTTACCCGGTTTTCCTTAAATAGTAAATCAGTACTGCTTTGTTGCTTATAGTTATGCTATAGTTCATGGCTTGAAAGTATTATTTGATGCTTGGGAAGCATGATAACACCACTGTTGTACTTCTTCTCTACTCAATGCTATAAGCTCATGTATCTGGAGCACCAAAGATGGTGGACAATTGATAGCCTCCCCAAGATAACTAGCTAACCAGTGAACTAACTTTTTACTAGTTATTGGCCTCTGGTAGAACACACAGTGTCACTGTGAACTGAGTGTTCGCTAACCTAACCAATGCCTAACCTAATAAATTAACCTTACCTCTGGGTGGTTGTCTGTCTGTTGTCTCTGTTGTGGTGTATAGACGTACTTCAATGCCCATGTGTCTGGTTTTATTTGTACGCTGGTGACGGGTGGCGACACCCCCTTAATGGAGGCCCAGCTGGCAGAGGACAACCAGCTGTGAGGAGGAGATATGTCCCTAAAGATGTGGGCGCTGCGCCAACGCACCAAACTGGCACAGCTGGCACTGCAGGACGAGCCCCTCTGCAGCCTCGCTGTGAGAGTTTTTACTACTAACACACACAGACATACACCTATATGGACACACACACACCTACTGTGTATGGACACACACACACGTCCTAATGATTTTCTATCCTTCCAATCCTCTGCAGTGTGAGGACTTCAAGGACTTGTTCTGCCAGGCTCTGGACTCATTGGAGATCCTGTGTTTTGGACTGTATCGCCTGCTGGACCCTCCTAACCCCTCCATGAAGAGGTACACTACCCATGCTCTGCTGCTCTTCCCTCTGCTGTCCACACGGACTTACTGTACCAGTCTCACTCCTGCTTTCTCTCTGCATGCTCATCTCTTTAGATTCATCTCTTCTCTCACCCTCTCACTCATCAAATGTAGTCTGAATAGAACAGGGCTTTTCAAACTTTTCTTGCCCAGGGACCCTATGTAAACCGGCGACCCAGGGACCCCCATTATATATTAGCAAAATAAAATAAAATAATGTCTTGTCTTATCATCAGGTGAATGATAATGGCAAGTAGAAGTAATCAACATTTTAAAATGAATAGATTTGGTAGACCGTTTCATTATGTCGACCTCCACACAGTTCATTGGAAGAGGTAGTGTAAACTCTGACATAGTCCATTAGCTCGAAAGGTATCTTGGCAGCGTAGAGAAAATGTTGCTCTTGTAAAACAAATGTTCTGCAATTTTACACAGTTTGGCATGGAGCTGAGAGACAATTTTGCCGTTTTAAAGCTAATTTCCTGCAATTTTATGCATTTGCCATGGCTAATGCGGTGTTCCTCTGCTCTAACATTAGAACAAAATCAATGGGTATGTGCACTGAATGTTTTATTGTAATTTTTTTGACTGTTTTGCTTTTATTTTATTGTTAGTTCTCAAAGATGGTGTTATTTTTAAATATACACTACCGGTCCAAATTTTTAGAACACCTACTCATTCAAGGTTTTTTTAAATATTAAAAAAAAAACAATTTTCTACATTGTAGAATAATATTGAAGACATCAAAACTATGAAATAACACATATGGAATCATGTAGTAACCAAAAAAGTGTTAAACAAATCAAAATATATGTTATGTTTTATATTCTTCAAATAGCCACCCTTTGACTTGATGACAGCTTTGCACACTCTTGCACACCTCCCCTCCCCCACCCCTCTTCCCCTCTACCCTGGACCTTCCCTTCCCTACCCCACCCCTCTACCCCTCCACCCTGGACTTTCCCTACCCCACCCCTCTACCCCTCATCCCTGGACCTCCCCTACCCCACCCCTCTACCCCTCTACCCTGGACCTTCCCTACCCCACCCCTCTACCCCTCCACCCTGGACCTCCCCTCCCCTACCCCACCCCTCTACCCCTCCATCCTGGACCTCCCCTACCCCACCCCTCCACCCTGGACCTTCCTTACCCCACCCCTCTACCCCTCCACCCTGGACCTTCCCTACCCCACCCCTCCACCCTGGACCTTCCCTACCCCACCCCTCTACCCCTCCAATCCATGTCTCAATTGTCTCAAGGCTTAAAAATCCTTCTTTAACCTGTCTCCTCCCCTTCATGATTGAAGTGAATTTAACAAGTGACATCAATAAGGGATCATAGCTTTCACCTGGATTCACCTGGTCTGTCTATGTCATGGAAAGAGCAGGTGTTCCTAATGTGTTGTACACTCAGTGTATTGTTCCTATACAGTCATGGTTTGTTTTAAGTCGACATGCAAATATAGGACTACATTTAAACTTCTGTGAACTGCGACAACTTGTTCTGTACATGCACACTCACTCACTCACACACTCACTCACTCACTCACTCACTCACTCACTCACTCACTCACTCACTCACTCACTCACTCACTCACTCACTCACTCACTCACTCACTCACTCACTCACTCACTCACTCACTCACTCACTCACTCACTCACTCACTCACTCACACACTCACACACAACACACACACACACACACACACACACACACACACACACACACAGAGAGAGAGCGAGACAGACACAGTGTGCTGTATTTGATTTGGTTCAAAGGCTGTGTGTGTGTGTGTGTGTGTGTGTATGGCAGCGTTCCTGTCAATGTGTGTGTGTGTGTGTGTGTGTTTGTCTGTGGCGTCAGTGTCTGTCAGCACAGGGAGGCTAAGCACTGACAGGTGTGTGTCACCCCATCAGTCACCTGTCAGCACTGTCTGCCTGCCCAGGAGGAGGAGGAGGGGGAGGAGGAGGAGGAGGAGGAGGAGGAAAGACGATGAAGGACACCAGGCATCTGCCACTCCGCTCAGCCTGACCCACTTATTTTCTCTGGGCTCACACACACACACCTGTCCGTCTGTAGGAAAACACACTCACATACACTACATGACCAAAAGTATGTGGACACCGTCTCGTCGAACATCTCATTCCAAAATCATGGGCATTAATATGGAGTTGGTCCCCCCCATTGCTGCAGGGACTTGCTTCCATTCAGCCACAAGAGCATTAGTGAGGTCGGGCACTGTTAGGCGATTAGGCCTGGCTCGCAGTTGGTGTTCCAATTAATCCCAAAGGTGTTCGATGCTGTTGAGGTCAGGGCTCTGTGCAGGCCAGTCAAGTTCTTCCACACCGATCTCCTGTATGGACCTCGCTTTGTGCACGGGGCATTGTCATGCTGAAACAGGAAAGGGCTTTCCCCAAACTGTTGCCACAAAGCTTCCCTTCACTGGAACTAAGGGACCCGAACCATGAAAAACAGCCCCAGACCATTATTCCTCCTCCACCAGACTTTACAGTTGGCACTATGCATTGGGGCAGGTAACGTTCTCTGTAGCTCAGCTGGTAGAGCACGGTGCTTGTAACGCCAAGGTAGTGGGTTCGATCCCCAGGACCACCCATACACAAAAATGTATGCACGCATGACTGTAAGTCGCTTTGGATAAAAGCGTCTGCTAAATGGCATATTATTATTATTATTAAACCCAGATTCCTCCGTCGGACTGCCAGATGGTGAAGCGTGATTCATCACTACAGAGAACGCGTTTCCACTGCTCCAGAGCTCAATGGCGGCGAGCTTTACACCACTCCAGCCGACGCTTGGCATTGCGCATGGTGATCTTAGGCTTGTGTGCGCCTGCTCGGCCATGGAAACCCATTTCTTGAAGCTCCCGACAAACGGTTCTTGTGCTGACGTTGCTTCCAGAGGCAGTTTGGAACTCGGTAGTGAGTGTTGCAACCGAGGACAGACGATTTTTACGTACTTCAGCGGTCCCGTTCTGTGAGCTTGTGTGGCCTACCATTTCGCAGTTGAGCCGTTGTTATTCCTAGACGTTTCCACTTCACAATAACAGCACTTACAGTTGACCGGGGCAGCTCTAGCAGGGCAGAAATTTGGCGAACATACTTTTTGGAAAGGTGGCATCCTATGACGGTGCCACGTTGAAAGTCACTGAGCTCTTCAGGAAGGCCATTCTACTGCCAATGTTTGTCTATGGAGATTGCATGGCTGTGTGCTCTATTTGATAAACCTGTCAGCAATGGGTGTGGCTGAAATAGCCGAATCCACTAATTTGAAGGGGTGTCCACATACTTTTGTATATATAGTGTACGAGAACACGCACTGCAAATGAAAATCCCTCCATCTGACTTGACTCATCGCTCATCACCACCAGAAGAGATTGTGGGCCCTTTTGTTTAAAGAGTAGATGTTCAAATCCCTTTTCCACCACCCCACCAAAACCAGAGTAGTGGGGATCACTTGCCAAGCCAGCCCTAGATCCTCCGACTATGTGTTTATGTACTTTGTCACTCAGAATAATTAGATGTGCAAATCCATGGCAGAAAAGGGATATTTCTGACAGTGGTTCATGCTTGAGTTTTTCCTGCTCACTCCGCTCTAGATGAACTGGTGACAGTTGTATGGCTGTACCGTGTTGAAAGAGAGAGACTGATGGAGAGGGAGAGAGAAGGAGGGGGAGGACAGCTGGATGGTGATATAAGAGAGGGAATGAAGAGAAAGACGGTGAGAGAGTGGCCGATGACAACACAGACGCTGTTCCCAGAACACACACTCATCAGAAACCTTGACACACTGTTCAGCCATGCAGCAACAGCAGGGGTCCCAGCTATGTTATGGCCAAGGTCCATGTAGCATGCAAGTGTGTGTGTGTGTGTGTGGACGTGTTTAACTAGTCTTGTGGGGATCAGTAATCCCCACAAGAATAGTAAACGAACAAACATTTGACCAACTGGGGACATTAGTCCCCACAAGGTCAAATGCTATTTCTATGGGGTTTATGCTTAAGGTTAGAACTAGTGTTAGGTTTATGGGTTAGGGAAAATAGGATTTTGAATGGGACTGAATTGTGTGTCCCCACAAGGTTAGTTATACAAGACTGTGTGTGTGCAAAGTATGTGTTTGTGTGTGCATTGGCTTTGCATTTGGAGTGTGATTTCTATGCGTTTTAGAGCATTTGTATTTTGAATATTTGTCTAGGTGTGTGTTTGTGTCTGCATGTACAGTATGTTGAATATGAATATAGGGTGCTGTGGGTGCGAATGTTTCGGTAGTGTGTGTCGCAGTTATATGTATTATACAGTGGGGAAAAAAGTATTTAGTCAGCCACCAATTGTGCAAGTTCTCCCACTTAAAAAGATGAGAGAGGCCTGTAATTTTCATCATAGGTACACGTCAACTATGACAGACAAACTGAGAAAAAAAATCCAGAAAATCACATTGTAGGATTTTTTATGAATTGATTTGCAAATTATGGTGGAAAATAAGTATTTGGTCACCTACAAACAAGCAAGATTTCTGGCTCTCACAGACCTGTAACTTCTTCTTTAAGATGCTCCTCTGTCCTCCACTCGTTACCTGTATTAATGGCACCTGTTTGAACTTGTTATCAGTATAAAAGACACCTGTCCATAACCTCAAAC